TTTATAAGTCCTCCGTAGGACTTTATAGCTCCTACGTAGGAGATATTAAAACCTAATTAGGAGTTTTAAAGTCCTACGTAGGACTTACAAACTTCTACGTAGGACTTTATAACTCCTACGTAGGAGATAAAAAAGCCTAATTAGGAGTTTATAACTCCTACGTAGCACTTTATAAGTCCTACGTAAGACTTTATAACTCCTACGTAGGAGATAAAAAACCTAATTAGGAGTTATAAAGTCCTACGTAGGAGTTATAATCTCCTAATTAGGCTTTTTTTATCTCCTATGAAGGAGTTACAAAGTCCTACGTAGGACTTACAAAGTCCTACGTAGGAGTTACAAAGTCCTACGTAGGAGTTTAAAAGTCCTACGTAGGAGTTATAAACTCCTAATTAGGCTTTTTTATCTCCTACGTAGGAGTTATAAAGTCCTACGTAGGACTTATAAACTCCTACGTAGGAGTTATAAAAACCTACGTAGGACTTTATAAGTCCTACGTAGGAGTTACAAACTCCTAATTAGGCTTTTTAATCTCCTACGTAGGAGTTATAAAGTCCTACGTAGGACTTATAAACTCCTACGTAGGAGTTATAAAAACCTACGTAGGACTTTATATGTCCTACGTAGGAGTTACAAACTCCTAATTAGGCTTTTTTATCTCCTACGTAGGAGTTTTTTTTTTATAGAACATTATGAATTAGCACCAGGACGCTTCCGTAAGGTCCCTCTCTTTTTTGAATGTACATTAATATGTATATATTTATCAATGTATTTGTATTTTAACTCATATATATATTAATCATTACTCTTAGACATTTTATTGCTTATGTGCTGGTACAATATATAAAGATCGTCTTTTTATGTATAATTTGAATAATATATAATTTATCCGTTCAGTTATGTATTTAAATTATTAAGTTTTATATACAGTATATACTTTAATGTCGTTGATATCACCTTTTTCAATAACTTAAAAGAAATAAATGCCGAAATGAATTATTTAAATTGTCTTCGGTTTAATTATTCTCAAATACATATCGTCAACAATTACCTCAACGATTTTTATTATTTTTCATTCAGGAAACATCAATTTTAGATTACATCCCACGCATGTTTTGTTTACGTCAAGCTTGTATTAACAAAATATTAACGACTTTAATGACTCAACATGGTAAAAACTAATTTAACTTAACATTATCTTATATACCACAACAAAAGGACACCTTATATTTGTCTCCAACACTTAACTCTATATCTTGTATTTCTTGGAACGATTACTTTATTAAACAGAAGAGAAAAAGTCATGTTTTAAGAACAATGACTAAAAACAAATTTGCTTGAAGAACAACAATTATGTTGTACACAGCCAGGCCTTGTACAAGTGTGTGTGTATGTTTTGTCCTTACCTATGGCTGTCTAGATTGTTAAAGAAATTTACATTCCTTCAACGGATTAAAACATGCTCCTGTTTTAAAATCATTATATCGTACGTTTGTTTTTATATGTATCAAATATTATCAAGATATACAGTATTTATTGTGCTGCGTTCATTGTCGGGAAATGTTTAAAAAGCGATGACTTTTAAAAGCAAGGGCAATATAATGGATACAGTATGTTTTCAGATAGTTTATTCTAATTCTTGATAGATTTAGGTACATTGTGACGATCAAGCTTACGGAACGTCGGTGGTTCTACTCAGGTACTCCGTTCGTGGTGCCTGTAATAATGCACGGAAGGACACCTGCGGTCTTCCTCCAGCAGTAAAGTTGAAAAATCGCCGTATGACCTATTTTGTGTTGGTGCGACGTAAAGTCCAATATAAGCATCTGTCAGTTGTCAACTAGACACAACCAATCCTTATACACATCTCATTCCTTTTGTTGAATTTGAAGTTAATCTTCATGGAAAAGGATTGAAAAAGATTGCAATATAACCATACGAGTATATTGGCAAAGACCTAAAACATTCTATACTCTGCTTTCTTAAATGATCTATCATAATTGTAGGCTGTTTTCACAGTGTCTTATTAATACCGCTTTGAACTTGATACAGCACGCTATGGATGCAGCAACTTATTAACAGCATGCCTGAATAAATGACACAGATTGTGAATATTGTGATTGATCACTAGACAATGTACATTGTCATTAAGCAATGATTGATGCTCAGTCTCTATATGTATTTAAACAGATGTGTATTTAGTCTGAAACCTAAGATCATTACAAGCCGTTTACCTGTTGTTGAAATGGGTGTACAATATATCCTTGTTGTTAAGCCAAGTAAGATATCTGGTTCTATAAAAGCAGGGACGCAGTCTATCACTTCAATAACAAACGATGTGGCAACCTGTTTCTTAAAGAAGATAAGACTAGATTTATTTTGGCAAATGTACATACATACATACATACATACATACATACATACATACATACATACATACATACATACATACATACATACATACATACATACATACATACATACATACATACATACATACATACATACATACATACATACATACATACATACATACATACATACATACATACATACATACATACATACATACATACATACATACATACATACATACATACATACATACATACATACATACATACATACATACATACATACATACATACATAACAAAAAATAACATAACATACATACATACATACATACATACATACATACATACATACATACATACATACATACATACATACATACATACATACATACATACATACATACATACATACATACATACATACATACATACATACATACATACATACATACATACATACATACATACATACATACATACATACATACATACATACATACATACATACACACATACATACATACATACATACATACATACATACATACATACATACATACATACATACATACATACATACATACATACATACATACATACATACATACATACATACATACATACATACATACATACATACATACATACATACATACATACATACATACATACATACATACATACATACATACATACAAACATACATACATACATACATACATACATACATACATACATACATACATACATACATACATACATACATACATACATACATACATACATACATACATACATACATACATACATACATACATACATACATACATACATACATACATACATACATACATACATACATACATACATACATACATACATACATACATACATACATACATACATAAATACATACATACATACATACATACATACATACATACATACATACATACATACATACATACATACATACATACATACATACATACATACATACATACATACATACATACATACATACATACATACATACATACATACATACATACATACATACATACATACATACATACATACATACATACATACATACATACATACATACATACATACATACATACATACATACATACATACATACATACATACATACATACATACATAACAAAAAATAACATAACATAACATACATAACATACATACATACATACATACATACATACATACATACATACATACATACATACATACATACATACATACATACATACATACATACATACATACATGGTATTTTAACACATGGAGTGAGACATAACACAAGCACATAAAATATGACATGCACACCAACACCATGGATAATACAGAAAAAGGGTAAATTCTTATTTCCGCTGCGGTAGCTACACACTATTCGTGGTGTACTAAAATAATCAATGAAAACAAGAACAATAACAAAATGGTGTTACGTAAAAGCGATATACTAAAACATATAGCAAAATGTGTGACTAAATAATAATACTTCTTGAAAGTCGTGAAAGATCCATGGATATGCTTATTTATTTAGATACGTATTTTGACGATTTTAGGATATTTGTTTTGCATGCATTGTCACTGGCGTGTATGTAATAAACACTTATTTTGTCAGACCTCTACGTAACAAAACAGCGTTTTACCTAAAGCTTCAAATTTTACCTACTGCTTTAAATTTGTCAGTAGACAGTTTAATGAGTGCTATCTATTTCTGTCTACAATTGTTTCTAAACTTGTGTGAAGTATAGCACATCTGTCCGGAAGATATATTTCATTTTAATTACATTGTATCATTTTGCCGTGAAATTAATTTCATATTGTTTAACAAATTAATGTGTTTTAAATTATTTAAACTTTTTCTACTTTCTTTGGTAATAGGGCGTCTGTGGCCGAGTAGTTAAGCTCGCTGACTTCAAACCACTTTCCCCCTTACCGTTGTGAGTACGAATCCCGACAGGGACTTGGGATTCTTTTACGTGAAGAAGCTGTCTATCTAGCTTACGGAACGTCGGTGGCTCTACTCAGGTGTCCAGTCGTGAATGAAATAATGCATGGAAGGGCACCTAAGGTCGCCCTCCACCAGTAAAGCTGTAAAGTCGCAATATGACCTATACTGTGTTGGTTCGACTTAAACAACAAAAAAGAAAAAAAAACTTTCTTTGGTTTTAGCCATATTTGGTTGCGTATGTATTATAGGTGAATATTAACCTTTCTAGATTTGAAATGTGAACGTTTTATATTATTATGATAGATATGTCCTTGTATTTTACTAGTGTACTTGTTTACACTTGTTTCAATTGTTAATACGTTAATAAAATTAGCCTTTAAACTGTCTACTATAATGATGTAAATTCAAATGTTAGACGTGTAATTGCCGTAGAAAAAACATCTTGTGAAAAAGGCATCCTACGCCCAATGTGGTTAACAACAGAATATGGCGGTATTCTTATTGTTGGGATAAGCGCATAAGGTCGTGTATTCAAGCGAAACAGATTCAACGCCAAAATAAAGAAACACCATTGTTTTCCGCAACGTGACTCAACTCAATAGTGGTACTTCTTACTTTAGGGCTTTTTACTAATGTGGCTCTTCAAATTTATTATATTTTCAGGGGAGCAAAAGAATGCAGTAAACATAAGAGATTCACTGGCCATTATCACGCAAATTCTTTCCATTTTGGTCCTAATTTTGAGAATGGTGAAATGAATCCTATGACTGTACTTTTCGAAGACAAATGGCAGGTTAGAATATTACTTTATATTACACTTTTACTGACCTTTTTAAGGATTTTCAAACAGCCATTTTGACTTGAACTTTTGAAGGTCAAGGTCAATATAATTTTCTTGGTATCCACCCTCATCGTCTTCAGCATACCCGTATTAGGTTGAAACACTCAAGATACAACTTGTACAATGTACTATAAAATGCCTCTATCATTCATAATTTCTTAAAATCAGCCCAGACCTTTCTATTACAATGTATGTGAAAACCCACAAAATCGCAGTCATCTGCATGAGATTTGCCAACATTTTTTTTTCTTATTCTAAATATGTGATGAGTATATTGTATAATTATGTTACCATTACAATATTTTACATCGTTTCATCACGTTAGTTATTTGTTTCTTTTTTATTGTTGGATGGTCGGATTGAGAAGTAGTGGGAATTGGGAATTGTTTTGCGCTGTTTATGTTTATTAAAGCAAATTTCCATCTTAAATATATTTGTCCTGAGAATTAAACTTTACGAGTACATTTCAATTGTTATTACTTACTCAGTTTTTGAATTGTTAGTATTGCATGTTTTACATATGCACAAACGTGGTGTCAGGTATTTTTTTAATAAGTCACTAGTACTGTAAATATACATCTAGTATATGACAAACAATTGAATATGAATGTAAAAATATCGGATATTCGTGTGTATATGTCCTAAGCATATTATAAGAAATTATATTAATCATTTAGAAGAAATTTCGGATATATCATTTTTCTTTTGTTCTTTCTGTTTTACAGAATACTTTGTATATCACGGTTAAAGTTGAAGATCGGGATAGCATCAATGCCAATGACCCCATGGGTCGTGTAAGATTATTATTTACAAGAGCACCAGCGCCCAGCAAGAAAGAAGCCCTGTGGAATAATCTAGATTTTGTTTTTGACTATCAAACGTATGTATTTCAACTGTTTAAACTGAAAAATATTCTTCTGATATACTTATTTATATAGGTTTTTTCTAGCACTTGTGCAAAATTTGTAGTTTGAATCAATTTTTAGTTTACAACAAGGTTTTCACTCAACTCATGTTATGTCTTAAAATGGACTGGTCTGCAATTGCCATGTTTCAAATACATGTATTGATAAAAACATTATAGAATGTATCATTTGGGTATTCTTGTAGGATGTGTTTTTTTTTTAAAACAAATGCTGATAGAGTTGCAAGTGATATAGAATGAACATTTATACGATGAATAAAATGTTTTGTAATGTTCAAGAACGAACACTTTATTATATGCTATATGTAGAAAATATATAAGAAATGAAATATCGGGTCATGTATCTCACACTTACCATCAATATCCAGTTACATTGTATACATATTTTGTGGTTTGTCATGTATGATACTAAATACTATCAATAAAATTATTTATGGTATTACAGAACTGCCACCACGGACCAATTCATTAAATGAAAAATATTTTCACTTGCCACCATTTGTTTGTTAATACTAGTATTACTACAAAGTGCTACATTGTGACAACACGTTGATTATAATCTGCATTTTAATAAAGTATTTGTGTGGTTATGTTTTACATGTTGATATTGTATGTGACAGTGCAGTACTTAATATGGAATTTAATTTAGTTTGATAGCGTAAAATGTATTGGTCTCATGATATCGATATGATATATCAAACTGCATCGGTATAAAATTGACCTCTTTGTTGATCTGTCAGTGTCAATATAGCGATGAAACAAAAGCCTTTCAGAACTGCATTAACTTATGACATTTTCTTATAATCAATGAAACTACACACGATACATCGTTTAACCCTATAGTTTTCTATGCATGTTCACTTTGCAAATTCTTCTCTCTTTTTATGACTTAATTTAATTTCAATTTCAGAATAACGGGTCAAGCACGTGTGTATTGCGAGCAGAACTACTACGGTGAAGATTGTATGACACATTGTGTTCCAAAAAATGTCGTCGGTGAAGGTCATTACACGTGCGCGAAGAATGGTTCTAAGGTATGCATGGAGAATTACCATGGTCCGGACTGTAAAGTACACTGTATTCCCGCCGACGACGACACCGGTCACTATTACTGTGATGAAAATGGTGAAGCCGTCTGCTTGGAAGGTAAAAGTTATCACTTTATTGAAACAAACGAATTGTTGTTCTGAAAGCTGGAGTTAAATCATTTAATGAATTTCAATTTGAAATTCAGTTGTCATTTCTTCTTGTAAAAAATAAAATGAATTTAAAGAAATAATGAATGGGTAAGTTGTGTTAAAATATAATTGATCTTTGTGTATAATTTTTTTATACTTTTTATACAGTAAAGATTAACTTCAATAAAAACTTTCCATTTATGATATTTATTATATAATTATTATATTTTATAAGTGTCGAACGAAAGTAATGCATGTAAAACGAAATACCTTTTTCTTGGTTGGGGTGAAGCGAGTGAGTGGGCGTTCATTACCGACAGAACCTTTTCTGTTTGAGAGATCTTTCTATCTTGGTTCTTTCTGGAAACAATTTTACAAATCTGTTGTGTTCATTGCATCATCATAACCTTCTAGCCATAAAGAACAAACTACTTATCAGTTGCTAATTAAGTAATAAGGTTATTTAAAACACATTTTTTTTATATAACTATCATATTAGTTCATGTTTTGCTTATTTTGTATGTTATTATTTCTGAACGCTAATCATGAAACATGTATACAATTACATATCTAAATTACATATCATTGTTAAAATGAGCCGCGTCACGACAAAACCAACATCCGCGCAGTCTAATCAGGATCAATGCTATTCGCTTACAAAACCTATAACAAGTAGAGAAACGGATAGCGAACAGCATGGATCCTGATCAGACTGCGCGGATGCGCAGGCTGGTCTGGATCCATGCTGGTCGCAAACCAATTATGTTGGTTTTGTCATGACGCGGCTCAAATGTATTATTTATATCATAAGATGACTTTATCCCTGAAAAAAATGTATTCATGTATATATAAAACATGTACATACCACATCGTCTAAGACGAGACTTGACCTTTTAGTATATGTTATAATTGTTGGTCAAGTGCATATCAATGTCATAGTACAATGTTTTGTTGTCTACATATATAATGTATGTAATGTATTTACTTTATGTTAATATGGTGTTTTATATTACTTATTCTGTACACCTGCACGGAAAAGACACATTTATCTTACCGTTATCTCATACTTTATGGCATTAGAAAAATGATATATATATTGTACCATTTTTTTTATATTTCAAGGTTAATTTAGGACAGTTAGACTTAATATGAAATAAAAAGCTTCTTTTTCAAGTACTATTGTATGTAAAAGAAAATTTCAGTTTATAGTACAAAGTCTATATGCTTGTTTACAAATTGCCTTGCGTTAGTGTCAATTGAGTAATTTTATTAAGCTGCTTATTTTTATATAGGCCAGTTGAAAATGGCAAAGGAACATTTGTTGAAGGGGTAAATATTACCTCGATAAAATTGCATTTACATTGACCATTATACATGTATTACAAATTGTAAAGAACACATTGCCTTCAGTGTAGACTTTATCGTTTCCTTCTTAAGATTGTTAGGTTAAAATATAGACATAATGAACATTATTTGTTTTTAGGTTGGAGAGGGGACAACTGTACTGAGGATATTGACGAATGTAACAATGGAACAAACAATCCTTGTTGGCCAAACGGCGAGTGTGTGAATACAGATGGTTCTTATACATGTAACTGCTCAAAACCGTACACAGGTCAGGACTTTATGGCATTTCATCGGAAACTGCGTTTGCTAATTAATGGAAAGAGAAAAACAGCATTTACCATAAATTTGAATTTTGAAGATCCGTATGTTTCAAATAAGTAGTTGCATTTGTTATCGCCGTTTCTCCTATATTAAAGCGTTGATGTGCACACGATTTAAACAAACAATTCTAGTTATGTTGCTCAGGGAAAAATAAAGATCATTCACTACAATTAAATTAACAGATAGGTATATTAACGTTTTGATTTATAATTATATCTTGATCTGATATGGTCCATACTTTATGTCTGTCGATTGCTTGTTTCCGGCGTTTCATTCAGTTTGATTTTTAGGTAAATCAAAACACAATATAGTGTACATTGTCATTAAAGGATAAATTACTAATTCGAGGGGGTGGATTGCATAATAGACGTACATACAACATAATTGCATCGTTTAACATTGTATTTTATTTTAGGACCCAACTGCCAGGAACAAATCATATACTGTAATGATGCTTTATGTAGCAACCACAGTGTATGCAACAATACAGCCGAGGGCTTCCAATGTCTTTGCGACCCCGGGTGGACGGGGACATTGTGTGATCGACGCGTCACACCTTGTACCTCAGATCCGTGTCAAAATGGCGGGAAATGTGTTCTTACCCTGAACAGGAGAAACTATCTGTGTAGATGTGAGGGGTTGTGGATGGGGAGGAACTGTACAGAGCCCGTTGTTCAAATGTTAAATGGTAACACTGATATTGAATGCTTTGTCCTGTATTTCATGTATTTTAGAAATAACGAAATCCAATATTTGTGTCAGAATATATTCAATTTATGGATATGGACATTGCTTTATGTCAAAAAATTCTTCAATACCGCATTACCGCTTTTTTTAGTAATTTATGTTTTGTGACATCTTTGCGCCTACAAATGCAAGTTGCTGTTACATAGAATACTCCAAACAGGCATAAAGTTCTTTGTGACAACTGTAAAACGCCGTCCGTAAATCATCTCATTGTCGTTATTGTTATATTTAAAGGTGTTATTTACATTGCCTTTTCGTCAGTTCCTACTTTTCATGACGTCATATTTCTTCTTCTCGTTGTAGATACTAAAGTGATTTTCCTGTCTGGGAACTTACCGGAAGATCAATGGGATGACCTCACACTTGGTATACGCCATCTTCTGAAAGATCTTCTACAAATATCAGATGTCGCCATAGAAACTACAATAACATATCCAAACGAGTATGTTACTTTACTTATTGCTGATGATTTCAATAATAACACTTTTAGATATCTTAATATATTTCATTGCACGACATACATGTAATAGTGTTGTCCGTTATAAGTTTTTGTATAACTGGTACTATTCTGCAAATGATTTTGGAAATAAAAATCAATTGCTTCCTGATAAAATATCACAGTAATGCAAAAATTGTACATATGAAGTGTATAATGCAATTGGTGAAACATGGTTTGCTTTTTATCTTGCTTTAAACTGTCGACTTTTTTTCTTGTTGATGGAAATTAGAAATATGAGTAACTACAGGATACGATTACAAATTTTGTATTTTTGCCTTTTATATAAAGATAATGTGGTTTGAAATAAGATGTAATCATGTATTGTTGAGTTCAATTCTGATTAGGTATGACCGTCAACATTAACTGTATTAGACTTGGGTAGCACTTTGTCCAATTTAGGCTTTACAGCTATGTTCTCGTCCAAGATGATTAAGTATTGTACTCAACAATATACATGTATAATACAATGTACTTGTAACCTGTAATGTTCTCTAACATATTACAATGTATTATAACTTTTGCTCCGATATTGTTCAAACGACAATCAGTTCACCGCCTAACGGCTCGGGTGATATAAATCTTGGTAGGTAAATATCCACATATATCACTCCAAAACCCAAATAACATATAATATGACATCTGTATTATTTAGGAAGCAGACAAGAGTTGAGGTGTTCGTAGAATCCCAGGATCCACAAGTTCGGCACTCACTAGATAAAATATTAGTACTTCCAGCGGAAGAAGTTAAAACCAGTTTCATATTGCCACTGTCAGAAAAACAAGAATTAATTCGAGAGCATAAATTAAAACCAGTATAATAATTCATCTTTACAATTAAAATCATAATATAAATATAGAATATTATAATAATTTAATATTTCTCTTATCTGAATTGTTTTCTATTCATATGTAATAGATAAAACCTTTCGGATCTACTAGAACTGCTCAGGTCTGGATGCTAGACGATTTCTTTCCTATTTTTATTAATATTTTTCTTTAAATCAATTTAGTGGCTTCCATTCCCTTCATACTAATATTTTCATTTGTTCAAATATCTTAGCTTTTATGACGAACATAATCGTCCAATCAAACGCGGGACATTTTGACTGTTTTTATGATTATTCAATACTAGACTTATTTCTAATTTGAAGTTTTTACCAAACTGTGTCATGCCTATATAAATTACAAATATTCTGTGCGGTTCTTTTTGTTTCAGACAATTAATTTATCAACCTATATTTCAGGACCCCTGGGTAAAGAAGCACTGGTACGTTGTTTTGACAGTGGTGTTGTCTATACTTATCATTCTCACAATCGTTGTTGTCGTCATGTATTTTGCCAAGAAACGAAAGTGAGTATGTTTTCAATATTCTGACATTGCCAGTATTCTATAAATATTCTGACATTGCCAGTATTCTTTGTATAGTCTGGCATTGTCAGTACACATTAAATATTCTGACATTGCCAGTTTTCTTTCAATATTCTGGCAATGTCAGTATACATCCAATATTGTTGCATTGTCAGCTTACATCTAATAATCTGGTATTGTCAATATTTTTTCAATATTTTGGCATTGTTAGTATCTGCATTTTCAGTCATTCACAAAATCGATAATAAAATTTTAAAGGGTGTACTGCAGCCTTTCAATATTATGTGCTTTTGTTTAATAAAAATATGTTTGTAACGGCAGCTTTGATTTTATCTAACATTGATTTGACATTTATCAAAACTTAGGATCCTCAGTTGATGAAAATTTAGCTTATTCCATTATTCTCTTGTTCTTTATGGTTTACTCATATTGTAATTGGAGAGTGTTTATATTAAAGTGAAAATTGAGCCCTGTCATGACAAAACCAACATAGTGCGTTTGCGACCATCCGCGCAGTCTGATCAGGATCCATGTTGTTCGCTATCAGTTTCTCTACTTGTTATAGGGTTTGTAAGCGAACAGCATGGATCCTGATCAGACTGCGCGGATGCGCAGGCTGGTCTGGATCCATGCTGGTCGCCAACGCACTATGTTGGTTTTGTCATGACGCGGCTCAAATATTTCTCAATTTTCTGTTTCAGAAGATCTTCCAGTAGAAAGATGGCGTCTCTAAATGGACCTAGGTCAGCTTCCGGTCGAGAATCTCTCCCCGATGCTGCAATTGGCTTCGATAATTCACTCTACTTTGAATCTAACCAACCAGAAAAGGTTCGAGGTCTTCCAGAAATACCAAAGCAAATGCCGCATGAAAATGGGCGAAAATTTTAGATAGTCGATTTTAGTTTTTGATTTTTTGTTTATATATCTTCGACAGAATGTGTCTATAAAGAAATGTGAGTTCTCACATCATTCTATAGAAGTCTTTTGGGTTTTATTTGTTGTTTTTTAGTTTGTTTTTTTTTTTGCTGTACAATTTCCCAATTTTAACTTACATCTTTAAAAAAAATATTTCAAATTATAACGAAATATTTTAATTCTTATTTAAAACCACGTTTTGGAGAAATAATTTTAAAGGAAGAATGTCTTAATTTCTCAAGTAATTATTGGGGTTAAAAAGTGGAGATTTTAAAATAAAAATAATCATGATGGTCCACCTGCCGAGTCTTATCTCGTCTTATCTCGTCACAAATATTGTGTGGTCGAGATCAGAGATTTTCTAAAAGTTAGCAAAAGCTGTGATTGTAGCTAATGTTAGGACAGACTAGAAGATATGGACTGGTGTGATATTTATAGAGTACCACACATGCAGAGTGTTGGATAAAATAGTCCTGGTAGAGGTGTGTTCATTTAATATGATGAAAAAAATGTGCAGAATGTGTTTATACTTGAATCGTTGATATTTTGTCCATGGTTATGATATTTGGATCTTTATATATTATATTCAAATCTTTAATGATATATAAGTAATTGTTAAATACAAATAAGCAAGACTTCATTTTTTTAATTGTAAAAACAAAGATTTAAATTTAATAATTCTCTGATTGCAAAAACATTATTAAGACTTTTTGTTATTCGGATTGCTTTATGAATTATTTTTGTTGATATCAAAGACAGAAGAGAGGGATTAAGTTACTTAACTTTAGCTTCAAATTAAAACTTTACACACTATGTACATTCAGTCTTCATAATGGTATTGATATGTATATTTGAAACTTAGACAGAAGAGAGATACTTAGTTGCTTAACTTTTGCTTAAGTTAAAACTTTACACACTATGTACATTCATTCTCTATAACGGTAGTGATATGTTTATTTGAAACTTGTATATATAATCATCAATTATTGTGGTCTCAATGAATGCTAAAGTATGGAGGACATATTACGCCAAAGATACACCATGATTGGTGCCATCCTATGTTGAAATGTGTGTCGGAAAATGTCAGTACGCAGAAATAAAATTATTGTTTGTTAAGAGAATTTCAGTTTATTTTATAGATTCTTCAATGATGAGGAGTTTCTTTCAAATTCAGAAATCTTAGTGGACATTTTTTCTTAGTGTATATACAAATGTACATAGCAATTAAATCATCATTTTTTTACATGTACATGCCATCACATTTTTCAAATTCAACGATACAAATTATTTACATGTCAATGTTATCAATGCCATGATTAAAAGAATACCATTTTAGACCAGGACTCGAGGTTATAAAACTTTTATCTCAGTTCTGTCTTTTCATTGGTTAACCTGTGTTGGTTTCTAACCAATCAGATACCCGAGATCTGAGATTGTGCTCATTAAATTTATTTATAACCTCGGACCCAGTATTCATAAGCTGATCATTATAATAAGATGAACTTAAGGCATATGCTAGGGTTACTAGCAAAATAAAAACTCAAAAAGGGATTGATTTAATTTGATCGACTTGCATGTTCTTAGCATATGATAGCCGAAACAGTTTAAGCGATAAAATATTAGAGGTCAGCGACTAACAGAAACAATAACTACAAGTTACATTGTACGTAATAATTTTGTATTGTAAGAATATTCTAAGTGCCTCTGTAATAAACACTGTCAAACACTGAATACATTATAATATTTCAAATAGAGTATGATGTTTCTTGCCATGTAGAACAATGATATTTTAATACGTAGGTACTGTATTATATACGCGTATGTGATATATATACTATAGAAATCGCATTTTTGTCTATTAAATTTGTTTTGTATGTAAACATCATTTAGTGAAACTATGTGAAACAGTTTTTATTTGACTGAATATAGCTTATACATTGATCCATATAACTTACAGAGTGTCAAATATATATAGAAATAAGTATGTATCTGCATCCTTTACAAAATACTAAACGTTAAGTCGTTCTAGTATACTACATGCCACATTTTGTGTGTAGTTGAGGTTATTTATACTCACCACCGGTCACCATTTCCCAAATGGACGAGTCCTCCAGAAAGTTATTAGTCATTATAGGTGCTCCACATACAAAAGGTTCTCTTAGTTCTTTAACGTGCCAAGTGTTTGGGCACTCATACACTGAACCTCAATTGAAAGTCTCATCCGAAAGATTGATTAGTAATTTTAGTGGCCTGCGCGGAAATCGAACCCATACTGTAGAGGCTCGAACCGATTGAGCTATGCGGGCTTACATGTCACATGATCTTTCATTGTCACATGTTTGAATGATTTTGGAATTTTAACGTGTTCGAATGAATTTTACCATGTCACGTATATTTGAATAATTTTTACATCACATTGATATTATGTTTCAATGATTTCTTTTCCCTGTCACATGTTTGAAGAATTTTTACCTATTCACGGATTTAAATGCTTTTGTACCTTGCCACGTGTTTGGAGGATTTTTACCTTTTCCAGTGTTTGAAGGATTTTAACTTTGTAACATGTATGAATGGTTTTTACCTTGTCTCTTGTTTGGGTGATCTTTCTTGGTTACATGTTTGAATGATATTTACCTTGTCACATTTTTTAATTTTCTTTCCTTGTCACATTTTTAATTTTCTTTCCTTGTCACATTTTTAATTATCTTTCATTGTCACATTTCTAATTATCTTTCATTGTCACATTTCTAATTATCTTTCATTGTCACATTTCTAATTATCTTTCATTGTCACATTTCTAATTATCTTTCATTGTCACATTTCTAATTATCTTTCATTGTCACATTTCTAATTATCTTTCATTGTCACATTTCTAATTATCTTTCATTGTCACATTTCTAATTATCTTTCATTGTCACATTTCTAATTATCTTTCATTGTCACATTTCCGAGTGCCTTGCTTGTCATATCATCACATTTATCTTTCTTGTCAGTTTCGAATTTATAGAAACTTACTAAGCACAAAAACCAGGCACGCAACGTTTTACATTCTTGGTTGTTTAAATCATTTTGATACTACAAATATGAGATTTGAAAAGAGATCGGAACTGAGGAGGGTCTTGGATAATTATTCTTACTTACTTTCTTGATAAATCATAATTCTGAAATACTTATATAAATAGTTACATAGTAAGCAAATTGTAATAGTAATACAATTGTTAATATCATTTTGAAACAACAGTATATATTTGTTAAAATCATGATTTATACAAATATTAAAGAATTTATATTTCCATATGTTCTTGTAATTATATTTCTAACTGACAGACGACATTTAGTCAAAACTCTGTATTTACCAGTAATTTGATTGGCCTAAACGCAAAAAGTATGTATATTAATTACATGTATGTACATCTGTAACATTTCTCTACCTGTAGATTATGTTTAACTCGCTACAGCTCCAGTAAAACGCCTGCAGAAATCATGATCACAAAGTAGAAAAATATCGCTTATTTCGTCAATTTTTTTCAATTTTCATTTATTATCAGATCTAAATCGGTGTGAAGAGATGAAATTAAACGTCTTAAAGTGCATTTCTGCTGGTGGAAATTCTCCGAGCGCCTCGTCCGGTATATACCGAAATATGGTATTATGTGTGGTGCTCACACACCTTTTTGAGTCTCACTCATAATTATCTTAAACAGAAAACAAACGAACAGAACATATTTATTCATAATAAAGAATTGAACATACGTTCGTCGATCATACATGCTATACAAGTTAACTCTTTTTGTTCCCTGTCAAACAGATGGCAATTCCACTTTCCACTAAACATGCCATAATATTAGCCACGTCATGACAAAACAACATAGTGCGTTTTCGACCAACATGGATCCAGACCAGCCTGCGCATCCGGGCAGTCTGATCAGGATCCATGCTGTTCGCTATCAGTTTCTCTATTTGTAATAGAATTGGTAAGCGAACAGCATGGATCCTGATCAGACTGCGCGGATGCGCAGGCTGTCTGGATCCATGCTGGTCGCAAACGCACTATGTTGGTTTTGTCGTGACGCGGCTCATATTCGGTATACATATTTCTTTGCGATCAAATATGTGCTTTTAGATGTGCAGGTACTTATTAACAAGTTAGCACATTTGTTACACAATCGATGGGCAAAATCGCCAAGGAGACTTATGTGCAGCCTACAAACAGTTTATTAAAAGATTCAAACAAACACATGGCGCTTTGGGACATTGTGTTAGTAACTTAAACATAATGAATAATAAAATCTTAAGATATCAAAGCTTGTGCTAAAAATGTGTGTGTTTGGGGGGGGGGGGGGGGCCTTAGAATCTTAAGTGGAAGCGGAAATGAGTAATAAGTCATGGTCAAATCAAACGAAGAGATTTTATAAAATGCTCGTGTGAATTATCTTTTTTTTCCAATTTGAAGTGGTTTGGTGCTCTATTCTATTCAACTTTGGACATGTTTATTCACATGACGCATTGATTTAGATTACTAATAAAATTAACAAATTGGGTTGTCAACTACCAATATTTGTAATCACTTTAGGGCTATATTTCTAACGGGAATCGATCATACACAGATAGTTTAGGTAGGCTTCTTGAAGTTCAAATGATGGCGTTATTTGATGACGTCACGTAGGGCACAAAATGACGTGACTTTGCTAGCATCATCTCCTATTTGAAGAACAAAACAAACAATTTTGTTAACGTCATAAAGATTTATTTACACCAGAAAACGGGAAAATAAGTAATAGAAAGAGCATCGAAACACGAGGCTATCTGATTTGTACGAGGGGGCGTAGCCCCAGAGTATTAATCAGATTGCCAAGTGTTTTGGTGTTCTTTCTCTTTTGTATCATAGTTAAACATAAAAACACGTTCCCTGTTGTCACAATATGAAACCCCGGAGAAAAGTAACCAATGAATGAGCATCTTAATATGATATTTCTGTCGCTTTCACTTTCTCTGCCGTCACAATAAGTAAACCCCAGCAAAAATGAGCCAATCAATGGGCATATGCTCTGGAGTGCGGTTAACTAATACCTGCACTCCAGTTTTCATCAGAAAGGTCCCCAAACTATGATACAATGCAATATACATATGTATGTAGAAGTTCCCCTTTGTAATGTTTTGTTTTCCATACTTAATCCTATTGATATTAGTGATTACTTGGTAGTGACGTCATTTTATTACACTTGACGTCAATTGAATTGACCATCTCAGAAATGGAGCAGTTGACGGACGTATTTATAGCACATTGACTTGTAAATTTAATAGAATATGGACGTCTACGCTAATAACATAAACACTTACAGAAACAGATTCTTTTACAACAACTAATAGATTTTTATGTATTTCTCTGGCTTGTTCTATACACATGTTACTATAATTTGTATTACATTCAGTACAATGCAGCACGTCACGTTAATATAGGCTTACTGTCAAGTGATAGACTATACAAATGTTATAGATCTATTTGTATTCTATAATTGTTCTTATCACTTAAGTAAAACAGTTCTGTTTACGTCACTTTACGTCTGTGACAATCTCAGCATTTTGCAGCACGTGTTATACAATGCTTTTACCTCACGTCGAAACTGAACGTCAAAACATCCGTAGATAAACACATTGGCAATGTTGTTTATATACGGTGTAAACCGTATGATATTTACAAACACCACACCTGATGACGTCAGCACGGAAATAGCATTTGAGTATATTAGAATAGTTAATATCAGATATGGTATATAACTGATGAAAAATATAACAGTTATTAGCAGGAAAGCAATTGTTGTTTTCTTTATTCTTTTGAATTTTTTCCGGTCGTTGATTTCGGCTGTTTGTGACGTCACACTGTTTTGTTTCATGAAGGATGACGTCATACTCTGCGAATCAGCTGTATCGTTACATTTATTAGTATTTAAGCTTCCCTTGCTACTCTTACGATCTGATTCCGACGATCCGTCCGCGACGATAAACTTATATTTATCTTTTTTTGACGCATTGTATTTTCGTACAACTCTCCACACAAGTCCGTACAAGACGACGAGTGCCACAAAACAAGGACAAACCAGAAGTGAAAGGACCGCGTGGTAATATATTTGGTACATGTCGTAATTTTCTTTATTCTCTGTGGCGCAGATTGAGTCTGTGATCCGTGGAGTAGATTCCGGGACAGTGGTTTTTCCCATCAATATAAGAACAGGCCATGACGTCCCTGTGGTCACTAGCAAAATAACCAAACATGACAGAATGGCTGTCCGACGGGTCATCTGCCAACCTAGGGGAACGCATATTTTTCTGTATCTAAAAAAAAGATGATTAAATTGGTAACCTTTTATCACAATAATTTTGTATTCTACTTGATTCACATGTAAGTATATTATAAGAATACAAGATTGAAACGTATTTACCTGTAACGTGACTTCTTAAAATACTTTTTTAAAGTACATATGTATTTTATTTTATTCGATCATATAATTATTGCAACAAAATCAAAAGTATTACACCTTTCTTCAGAATAATGTTTACCAGATACAAGACAAATAAATTTGACTTTGTGTTGTATTTACCTTTCAATAGCTATCACTAGCAATGCCAGACCGGAAGCCGAACAGATGAAGTAGTTGGCAAACCAGTATAATTTACACGTCGGCGTCTTTGTGAACATTTCCGGTTGGCGCAATGTAATCACGGTAAACGGCATGGCGACACTTGACGCCAGGAAATCCAGCAGTCCAAGAAATACTATAAATATTCTGTGATTGGACGCTTTCATGCGGAACGTGTACACCAGAAGCACGACGATATTTCCAGCACATCCGATAACCATTAAAATAGAGACAAACACTACCCCTCCAATTAAACGCTCGGCTAATATATTGTACAGCTCGGCTGATGACTCCATTGTCAAATCAAAGAAATCGGAAAATAAAATAAAGTCGTAGTCCCTTTGTTGTCAACTATAAACTGTTTATTACTTATTCTATCTCTATTATCTATAACAAATTATAGGGGGTCAGTAAACAATGAATAAAAAAGGAAAGTACAGTAATTGAGGGAGATGATGGCTTTTTCCGGCTATCTCATTGTTTTAAGTTTTAGTGTTTATTTTTCAGGAAATGATAAAATCTTGTAAAGTGAGCTCAGATTAGGTCACTTACATGGAAATTATTAAATGTATTTATAATAAGGTGGTCAGCAATTTTTGAAAATTAGGCGTTTCCTTTCAGTGCAACGATATGTTTTATTTCGGTTTCAATTATTGTACAATAAGTGCATGTAAGTTAATAAGTTAATAATGAAAACTCATTTAAGTGCTCTATTGTTTCAAACTCATTTCAAGTAATTCCACTTAAGTCGAAAAATGCCTATAAACATAAAATTTGAACTTCTTAAATAAATAGCGGGGGCACTAAATTAGAAAAGGATATAATAATTTAGGAAACTCGGAAATACATGTGTACATGTATATTGAAAATCGTATTTTATGATATAGCGTTGCAAAGCTTTTCAATTTGTATCATTTTAGACAATTTGAATAATAACTCTGGGGAAAAAAACGGAGTGAGCGAATGAACTGAAATTTTATACATAAGTAATTTGTCTAGAGCTACGTTAAATGAAACAATGAAACATTGAACATGTTAATTTATTTACAATCCGCCATGTAATAATGATGATGATAATAATAATAATAATAATAATTAAGAAAAAAAACATTAAAAAAACCCACAAAAAAACAACAAAAAAAATCCTCAGTTAGTCCCTTAGAGTTATCTTAAACATAGCCTGGATGTAGTGGTTGTATAATGCTACATCCAATGTTTGGCTTGTACTCGTCTGGTACTTACCATACTTACCATTCATTAATAACGTTTTATGATTCTGTTCTTTTTACAAACTGGCATTTTTCTAAAAAATAATAAATATTTGTTCTGACAGTAACTAACTTTAATGTAGTAACGAAAGTTAGTGTTAACATAATGTTCGGTTTGCACTAAATTCAGTATTAGAAATATTATTTAAAAGGACCAATATAATCATTAGTGCCAGGCAAAGCCGAAAACAAAGACATAAAACAATACAAATAAACTTGTAACAAACGTTTCGTCGGAATGAATGCCATAAACCAAATGATTGACCTTGACCTTTGACCCCGTGACCTTTAAGTTGTACTGGCCGGTAGAGCTTATCAACATACATGTACATACATTCGAAGCGTATAATATTAATTTTATGAGCTCGGACGTCAAAAAATGAAGTTAGAAGAAATTACTTTCACTTAGAGGCCAATGTTAATGTTTGCTATCTGGGTTGAAACTGACCTTTGACCGGTACTGATCACTAAAGTTAATGAAGGTACATTCACAAACAATGTATACATTAATAAGCATTTAGGTGGGAGCATTTTTATTTTATGACAAAATCAGTAAAAGACCATCTTCGTTATACACTGGCCTATGTGGGTTTGTTATATATCTGTTCAGTTTAAAGACTGTTGTTAAAATTACTTTTGTTGTATAGAACGGCTACTATTTTATATTTAGAGGTCACGGACACCTTAATATATAACCCCATCAACTCACGTGGGCCTTGCGGACGCATGCATGCATCTGTGTGGAGTTTAAAGGTGTAAGCACATATGTCATATGGCAACTGTTAATATTTGGTAATCAAGTAAACCTTGATTCTGTGACATCTAAGAAGCTGTTCAAAAAGCACATCAAGTTGCATACTGACATCTGTAAAATTCAAAGGCTTCCTGTTTATGGTAATGGTAAATATTTTATATTTTGTTATCTGTCTGACCTTGACCTTTGACTTCGTGACCTTCCGGTGGGAATGACTAGTACAAATCATGAAGTTGCATACTCATCTGCTACTTGGAAAGAAGCACGTTTGTTACGTTAGTATTAGCTATTTTGGGACTTGGTTAAGGACAATCTCGTGTAACATGGCGTAAGGGCATTCTTAAAACTTGTCTTATATAAATAATGGCCTATATTTCCACTATGCATCCACTTGGTAAATAAACAAAGAGTAGGTGATTTTAAGATCATTTATTATGAACATGTAATAAAAGAGTATAGTTTTAATCTAAAAATGTCCGTTGTGACATAATTATTATCTATTTTGATTTTTTTTTTAAATAATAATGAAATATTTTATGCTTTTTAAAATTATCTGTTCATATATTTTTAAAAAATAATAATTAAAGATGTTATGCTTTTAAAAAGAACATGATTTTATGAACATTTATGCATAATTTGTGCATTTATATTTCGAATTCGAAATTTGATACATGTATTCTGTATCTAGCAAATGTTTATGCCTTTTGTCATAACAGACATGCAAGGTTGTGTTTAATACAATACAAGCAAAATAGACAAAAATTCACACAGCACAAATAATTTTACATGTTTTACCGTCATGATAAGCGACCAGGACCCTAGTTACCTCCCTTGAAGTTTCTGTTCAAACATTAGATATTAAAAGCAGAATCCATAACGTTTTACAACATTGGGTATTTGTCAGTTTGTGTGAACTTTAGATTGACCTGCATTGGTCACTTTACGTCTGTGACAATCTCAGTATTTTAAAGCACGTCACCTTGTTATAAACTGATTTTATTTCACGTCGAAACTGCACGTCAAAGCAGCCGTAGATAAATACATTAGCTATGTTGTTTATATACGGTGTAAACCGTATGATATTGACAAACACCACACCTGATGACGTCAGTCCGGAAATAGTATTTGAATATATCAGAGAAGTTAAAATCAAATACGGAAAATAACTTACGAAAAATATAACAGTTATCAAAAGAAAAGCAATGGTTGTTTTCTTTACTACGTTGAACTTCTTACGGGTGTTTGTCTCGGCTTTTGAGGAGGTCCTCTTGTTTTGCTTGTCATCAGATGACGTCATTTCCTGTATGTAAGCTATATCGTTTGCCTTATCTGTTCTTCTGACGCTCGTAAGTGATGCTTTTCGGCTATCAGCGACAATAAATTTGTATCTTTCCTGCTTTTGGGCATTGTATTTCCTTACACCTTTCCACACCAGTCCGTACAATACGACAAGTGCTACAAAACAAAGACCAACCATAAGTGACAGGCCCGCATGATAGTATGTTTGATACATGTCGTAATTTTCTTTCTCCTCTGTGGCGCAGATTGAGTCTGTGATCCGTGGAGTCGACGTTAGGGCGGTAGTTGTTCCTATCAATATAAGGACAGGCCATGATGAAACTGTAGTCACAAGCAGAACAATGAAACACGAGAGGATGGCTATCCGACGGGTCATCTGCCAACCTAGAGGAACGCATATTTTTCTATACCTAAAATAGATAATATTCTTGTGATGAAGTATCAAGTCAAAACAAAGAAGATTTTAGCTGTTCAAAATCACTCCTCGACTCCCGGATCAGTATTTTTAAACTTAATCCATTCCTGTGCATACCAAACATTCTTTTATAAGCTGTGATTGGTCAACGATTGTCTACCACCCAGTTTCTAACACGTTTCTCAAAAACTGAAACTATCTATATCTGGTTATACCGATTTAGCTTGCCAATGAGCCAAAGTAAGTGTAGACCAGAAGATATATATTGATGATCTTATGACTTTTAACTTACTGAATGTTTTAATGAGAAAACATGTTATTCTAATACCAACCCACATTTCGAACATGCACATTTCTAACAAGTTTGGCCTGTAACGAATACGTCCCCATTTGTAAAATACTGTTACATATGTGATTAGATACGAATTCCATAAAAACGACCGCTTGTGATCCAACACTGTTACCTTGCAATACCTTTTAAGCAGCATGCCTGTAGATTTTCATAAAAAATGTATAAATGTATTTAACCCTTTACCTCACATTTTTTCGGCGCTGTCCCCCATCCAAAAGATACGTCAGGGGGTTGCCAGAAGGGGGATGCGCCCCCTTCTGTTTGGGGGGTTTGAAGGGGGCGGAGTCCCCCTCATCGCCAAGAAAATTTTGGACTTGTGAGAGGCTAAAAATGACCCCAGGTCAATCATAAGGTAACGTGTAACCAACGCTAAAAAGCTTTTGACTCTATCTCAATCCCTTGAGAAGTTGCAGCACTTTGAAATAAATTTTGATGGAAAAAATCGAGGCAAAATAGTGATTTTTGGCAATTTTGAGATGTCCCCTCGTTGCCATGGTAACGGGAAATTTAAGACTTAGCATGTCGTTACAAAGGCAATGGTCCAGTTAACATTTGTGCCAAGTTTGATCAGTATTGAAGCATTTTTCATAGTTTCATAGCAGTTTGAACTTGTAACAGGAGGCTTTTCAGTGAAAACGGCCATTTTTCACAATATGCTCATGGGGGAAAGGGTTGAAAGTGAAATATTATAAAGTGAACAAAGAAAGTAATTTACTTATTGCAACGCAAACGGCGCATACAATCCACCTAAAAGAAGGGAGAAATATGGTGATAAAATACTGCGAAATCAGTTAGTTATCGCGCATAATATTTTAATTATTACTTGAATCTTTTTTTTATTTTTTTATTATCTTAATACATTTTTTCTCAAGTTTAATTTTCTTGAAATGTTTTTGGCTCCTCTGGAAGCATGTAGCTTTGAAGCCTCCTTTGAAGATGCATAGCAGAACTTTAACCAAACAAGGCGGATACGTGCATTAAAATGTTCAGATTTCTTACAATAAATGATATTTTTAGGAAGTAGGAAGATTAGTTTTTTACCTGCATTTTATCACTAAATTATCAAAATTGTCCCGTCTATTTTGATCTAGAAAAATAAAACTCATCCAACATGTTATATACCTACAATACTCACCTCTCAATGGCTATCAGCAGCAAAGCCAGGCCGGAAGCCGAGCAAAAGAAGTAGTTTGCAAACATATACAATTTACACGTCGGCGTCTTGCTGAGTATTTCCGGTTAACGTAATGCAACAACTCTAAACGGCATGGCGAAACTGGACGCTAGGAAATCCAGCAGTCCAAGAAATAC